AACTACAGGCATAAAATGTGTTCTCAGAGCCCTGGGACACACATGGTCCATGTCAGGGTGCTGTATGGATTAGGAACCCCAGCACCTCAGAACACTCCTTTTATATTACATTACTCACTGCTCTCCTAGTTGAAAGGTTTATTGCCAAGTTCACACCCAGAAGCAGAATGTTCATTTCTTGTAGGAGACCTGCCTCCCCAAATAGTGCATTGCAAACTCTTTTTATAGTGAAAAATAGGTTCAGTTGAAAACTTGTGATGCATACCTCCAAAACTGGTATAAGAAAATGGACCATAAATGTCATAGCTTTCAACCACCTCCCTCTTAGACTTTAGGACAGAGGTTGGAGAATTGGATCCATCTGACTGGCTGGCTGGCTGGATCCTGACCTCCCTCAATGCCTGTGGGCCATTTTGACAAGTGGCCATGGCTGCCTACCTACCAGTCACCTGATGCCCGCTTGATGTCAGGTGGAACATTTTCCTTTGCCATGTGGTTTGAAATCAAAGCAGGCAGGAAAAGGAACAGGGCTTTGCGAGTGCCAATGATCGGCTTACTGGTAGTGCTTATAAAGGAAGAAGGCTTTGCAAGTGTTGCCTTCTCAGCATTACAGTCAGGAGCTGTGTCTTTCCTGTGCTGCTCCTGAGTTCAAACCACATGGGCAAAGAAACGGCTTTGCAGATGCGTGCCACTGATCAGCTGAGTGACAGTGCCTGCAAACTCTGCTTTCAACAGGGAGCTGTGTCTTTACCTGCCCCATAAATGATGCTGAGGGTAAGGCAGGTGCACAGAACTTTGGGGGGGGGGGGGAGGATGGATCTTGCAGGCCAAATCAGAACTGGAATTCCAGCCCCTGCTTTAAGCCAGATCCGAAAAGCTCCTAGCAGTTTACAGTTCTCAGAAGTCAGTGCGTACGCTGTGCCTGGTCCGAAGCCAAAGAGATGTGTATGCCTAATGCATTTGAAGCAAGCGAGCAGTAATGCCTGGTAATTGTTCTGAACTTTCCTGAGAGCCAGGGCATGAAAAAGGGATGCTGGGAAAGTGAGAAAGTGGGAGGGGAGTTCAAAGGAGAGGGAGTGTGGGTGGGAATGGAAGACAGATGAGAGAGGAACCAGCACAATGTTCTCGTATGGGGAGATCGTGCTTCCTCTTATGTCAAGATATTTCAGTGGGAAATGCAGGTCTCGTTACTGAGGAGGCATAATTAATCCAACCCAGGAGAGTCTTACCACGCTACAGAGATAGCTGTGCATGCAATGGGTGAAAAACTTAAAAAAATAATAATCATTAAGTCTCACTTTCTGTGGATAGTCAGGCTTGTCCTTGCACTAGGTAGTGGAGGGGGTGCACATTTCTATTTAAAAACTAGCCTATGTGGATCTTATTAAGAATTCCTTCCTTGTCTGTAGCACTGAAACTATTTATAGTAATGCATGTCTTCATGGGAAGAGGAAAATGAATGAAGCTCCCCAGAGCAGTAAAGCACAGCGTTCAGGTGATTGGGGTTGCAGTCCTGCGAAAGTGTATACCCTGGGAGCCAGCCCTGTCAAGCGCAGTGTGTTTTTGCTTCCGAGCAGCAGGCTACATTTTGTTCCGTGTGCTTTTCTGATTCCCCACCCCCTCCCCACCGATTTCCCAGCACTAGCTCTTGAAGTTCACCCAGGAAGAGCCCGTGATTAATAACCACTTGACAAAATGAATGTTGAGCTGTGGCATATTTTTATGTTATTATCTGTTCTTTGGTAGTCCACTGGATTGATGTGCTTGTCATTTCCTTGGATCACAATATTTTGTACTCGTGTCGCACAACTACCTATTATTTGTGGCTGAAGATAGATTGAGATGCCAGAAAAATTGGTAAGTCAGGGGAGATGAGAGATAAACGGCCACCTTTGCTGTTGCCGAGCTTGTTTATGAGAACACAGGAGTTGGGTGGAGGTCTAGGCCAGGAGTGTGGAACTTTTTCCAGCCAGGGGGTTACAGTCCTTTCTGGGCTGCCTTCTTGGGGCCACAAACCAGTGGTAGGCAGGGCCAGAGGCGAAAGGAGATGGAACAACCAAGGTAAATGTTATATTTGTACAGCAGGCTGGTTTCTTGGTCACTTGTGGTAGTGTTGGTGGGCCTATCCTGGTGAGGTACTTAGGAGAGGGGCAGATGGCAGCAAGCTCATAGGGCAAAGACATCTGTGTCACCAGAATGCACAAGCTGAGAGAGAGAGTGGGAGATGGCTTTGCTGCAGAGGTGACAGAGGTACTTGAACACTTTCCTGGATACCAATGGCTATTTGCAGGCAGCAAAAGAGAAATGGAATTAGCTACTCAGAGAAAGGGAGGCAAGAAGTGGGCACAGCTGGAAAGTCCCCGATGAAAAGCAGATGAAGAGTCATAGGGAAATCCTTTGGCTGGGTTTGCAAACTCCCTTTAGGTTCTGAGAACTAGAGAACTTTCAACTATCGCCACCCCCAACTCAAGACAGAAATTGCCTCGGCTGTTTTTTCTCTGTGTGTATTTTTGGCGAAGTTAGAGGTGTCCTTTTTTTTGTCGTGGCCTCCCATCTCACTGGATATTGTCTGATCATTTAGAGCTACCCAGGAGATTTTGCTGTGTTAATTAATTGAGGCTCCTTAGCAGTATTAATGGCTCCAGCCTCTTTCCTGAGTATAAAATTGAGTTGGTTAAACTAGGTCTATTGACAGGGGAGGTAATTCACTGCCTTTAATTGTCTGATTAGCTTGCATGCAGTCCTTTCTGTGGCTCCGAGTATGAAAATAAACACATATCATCATGCTCCCCCCTCTGCCTTTAAAGCACAGTATAAACAGAAAGGTAGGCAGTGATTGCTTCAAAAATAGTACTGACTCCAATCCTATTGAGCTGTTTTGCATTATAGACACTGCAGAGATGAATTGTCTGGTGGCAACATAGCTGTAACTCAGATGGCCAATATTTTACTTTCTTTTTACAACAGATTAAAAGCAATCGGATTCATGACTGCCAACAGTATGCCCCAGGGGTCTACATGGACGCTGCCCTGTGAAAAATGCTCCCCAACAGTGCTGACCCACACAGCTGTGACGTATGTGCGAGTACCACTGCCTTGTGGGTGGGGTCAAACATGGTTCTTTCTCACCCAGTCAGGATCTCTCCAGGAATGAGGGAGGATGTTGATTGCGTAGGAGAGACTCAACATCCACTCTGCTCATGTGGTTGTGAATAAGTGGATCCAATACAACTCTCTCTCTCTCTGTGTATGTAGGAGCTTTAACATACCGTATATATTTTTAAATGATGTGCAGCTTATCATGCTGAGAAAAAGCTGCACCTTCTGAAATTCTCCATCTGCATAGCTACTTAAAATTTGCAGCTGCTTTGAATCAAGTGAGGCCACTGATCCTTTTAACCCAACACCAGTCTGTTCCGATTGAGGTCTTTTCCTAGCTTTTTAGCCCAAGATCCTTTAATCTCTGTGGTGGGGAACTTCCAACCCACTTAGTGGTTTTTAATGTAGAAATATGTGACTGCTAGAACTGCTTTTACAGGTGTGATATGAGTGTTTTCCCCTAAAGCAATGTTTTTGGCCAGATAAGCAGCGACATCCAGTTCCTAGGGAAAGTGTGATTTAATCCCCCCACGAGCTAATGATTATTCATTTGGCTGGTTTCTGTTTCTGCAGGTGTCATGGGCCCAAATGAATAGTATGATGGACATCACTAGAAATTATTTTTGTAGTGCAACTCTTCTGTGTTCTTCCTCTAAACTATTCATGACCCCACCACAGTGCATGTAACAGCAGCTTAGTATGCTAAGTCACTCTGTAGCCAATTTCACATACAGTGGTACCTTGGGTTACATACGCTTCAGGTTACAGACTCCACTAACCCAGAAATAGTACCTCGGGTTAAGAACTTTGCTTCAGGATGAGAACAGAAATTGCGTGGCTGCGGTGCAGCAGCAGCAGCAGCAGAAGCAGGCCCCATTAGCTAAAGTGCTGCTTCAGGTTAAGAACAGTTTCAGGTTAAGTATGGACCTCCGGAACGAATTAAGTACGTAACCAGAGGTACCACTGTACTGTTTTTGTTTAAAAATCAGTAAGATAATGCCTACGATGTGCTGTTGTTTGCCCTACAGCATCCCACAATAAACTCCATATGTGACCAGATCTCTACTGTCATTTTGCCATGTTTATTGAATGTATGCAGCATATTCTAGATTACATGGAAGTTCAAAGGGAATGCAGAAAATTGTCCATGAACAGGAAAGAATTACTGTGTCTGAAGAATCTGGTAGCACTAAAGCTGGTAACAGTGGCTTAATAAACATTGCTTCATTAAACAAATGAAAAATATCCAAGGAACATAAGAAACTTTTCAGTTATTTCCCTAAGAAATGTGCTAGGACTTGGATTGGACTCCTGCAAAGATATGAAATTCACATTTGCAAGTTATCTTTCACCAAGCAATAGCTCTGTGTATTGTTAAATAGGGTTACTTGCACACTGCAAGTAAGGGTAGGAGGTAGAAGGGACGCCATTAGGAATGGGTGACCTTTGCCTTGCTCACTTCAGATTAGGACCAGCAATTGTGAGCAAGCTCAGATGATTCATGACAAAGTAACATTCTAAATTTGGTGGTTGTTTTTGCCACTCCCCTAAACCCTTTACCTGTTGTTGCTGCTGCTGCTTTGCCTCTATCTCTTGCCCCCATTTTCTCATTTTTCTCTTTCTGTCCCTGCTTCTCCCTTGCTCCTGGATTATTGGGGGGGGTGTGCAATTTTTCCAAGGGCACTGAAAATCCAAGCCGGCAGGGATCTCTGGGTCATGATGCTTGCCTTGTTTTTTTCCAGATCTGCATTTTGAGATTTGAACACTTGGCCATCCAACCTCTGCTTATCCTTGGCAATCTGCCACAAATGCTTTACCTGAGATTCCTGCATTGCAGGGGGTGTGGACTAGATGACCCTTGGGGTCCCTTCCAACTGAATACGATTCTATGAATTGCAAAACTACACGATGTCCTTGCCTCTCTGCAGCCACCATTCCACCTGCTCTGCATCACCCCTCTTACAGCCCCCCCTCCCCCAACACATACGCACACTTCTTCCAGCAAACTTGCTGAAGATAACGAGGGGAACCTAATAGAAAAGCCAAGAGAAATGTGCCAGAATCTATACATAGTTCCTTTGTTTTGACAACTGGCATACAGTTTATGTTAGCACTTCCTTATGCATTAGTGAATGTCTTCAAGTATGCATGAACCAACAGCAGTGTTTCAGTGAAGGAAGGCATTATGAAACAGAAAGGATGATTCTTAGGGAGTCCTGTGAATTAAGGTCTTAGGCTGAGACTTGGTAGTCCTGTGAATTTAAGCTCTTAAGCAGATCTTGAAGGCAATACCTTTCCCTTCAGCTCCCTGTTCCCAGTACCACTTGGTATTCAGTGGCAAAGAGGTTCTATTTAGCTATCATGGCTATTAGCTATGAATAGGTCAATTCTCCATGCATCTGTCCAACCCCCTTTTCAAGCAATCTGACCCAGCGACCATCAGTCCATCTTGTGGCAATGAATGGCCATTGATGAATTGTGCTTCCTTGGGAGAAACACTTTTATGTTGCCTGTTTTGAATCTACTGCCAACCCATTTCACTGGTTGACCACGAGTTCCAGTGCTCTGAGAGTGGGGGGAGAAAAATGCTTTTCATCTACATTCTCCAGGCCTCTTTGGAGGGAGTAGCCTCTGACTGTTTCTGACCAATGAGAGCCAGAGTCAGTTTGTCAGGTAGGTCACATATTTCAGGCACTCTTTTCCGCCTTTGAATAGAACTGGATGGAAATACATGACTGCTTGGCAGCCAAGAAATGGTGGGGGTAAGAGATTCTTTACCACAGGAGGTATTTCAACTGAGGAAGTAAGAAGACATCCATTTCTGTTCCAAACTGCATTCATCAAACACAGCACTTGTTCTGTTCTGCTGCAGTTTGGCTGCTGACAACAACAGTGTCATTTGTCTCACGGCCCACTATGGTAAAAATTAACTATGTAATCCTTACTTTATTCCATTTCATTCATTTCAATGCAAAGGAAACGCCATGCAAATTGGAAAAAAGTAATTTATTACCTTCCACTATATAACATTTGCAGCCTGAAAACAACTGATTGTATTTGCAGGATTGATTTTCATTTTGGACATTTCCATTTTCATCTGAATTCTCCGACCTCCCTAGCCTCCCACCCCTTGATAATTTTAGCTGCTGTTTCCTGTACCTTTCTCCGCTATTAGCATATCCTTCTTGAGATGGTGTAAAAATCTTGCCTTCCAGACTTAAAGCCAGGGGAGAAATACTTCCTCATGGTGGATCCATAATTGGCACGGACGTGCAAATCCCCAGTTGAGAACAAACGTGAATTCTAATGCTCAGTCATGAATTCTGCGCCACATATTAACCCTCTTATAAAGGGCTGGTATTAAAATTGCAGTCTCGTATGAATCAGAAGAGCTAACCAGGGAAAACTGGAAACTCACTATTGTTAGTGCTGCTTCCTTAGAGCATCTTATTGTCCTTGTATTGCATTTGCTGCCAGTGGTCTAGGCATCAGGATGATGAATAGCAGTTGTCGGCTTGCCACTTGATTAGATTCGAGTACAAGATGTATTCCGAGCAGATCAAGAAGGGGTGTTTGATTTTTGTACAGCAGGGAATGCAAAGTCGTTGACGGAGAGGTTGCTAGCAGAAAGAGATAAAAGGACACCATTTGTCCCTTGTCCATATCATCAAGAGGGGAATTTCACACCTGATGAGGAAAAAACCCACCTAGCCTGTCTTTCCAAAGCAGTGGAAGGAATTTAAGTTTTTGTAGGCAGACAGCTTGTCTGCATCGAAGTCCTATTGATTTCAGTAAAAGCCAGAATAGCTTCACAGTGTATACTGTGATGTTTGCTGTATTGACTCTAGTGTTTCTACAACAAATTTGTAAAGCATTAATTATCTGAGTCTTTAAACACCTGTGTACATGGGCCTGTTCACACTTGACATACCTGCTGTGGGCATGCTGCAGGTCTAACAGGTGAAACACTGATATACAAGCAGCAAGCACAATATTCACAAATAAAGCCATTGTGTTAAAGCCTTGGTGCATTGAGTCTTCAAGTTATATTTTTGCTTCAAGTGGATACAATCTTAGCATAGTAGCTGCAAGAGCAACTTATATGGAGGAGATGGTTTGTAGACCCTTTTAATGGTGGTTAGTATCATAAAGGGAATTCTCCTTAATTTGCAGCAGCTGGAATCTCAACTTCTACTTCTTAAGTGTTTTAGGTTCATAGGTCTTCAGCTTTCTGGCTACCTCTGATTTCATTCAGATTTTAATTCTTTTAATACCTCAGTGTTAGCCAGCATTCATGTGGATGCTATATTAGTTTCTGAGCCCTTTGCGAATAAGTATCCATATGAAGAAATTGGGATGGGAGGTACTATAAATCTAACTATGTAATTTTTTTTAAAAAAAGAAGGGAGGCACCACTTTAAACATTTATTATTAAAATTAATACTCTACCTTCATAAAAAGAACTCAAGGCAGCATAATAACATTACTGGGCTATAACAGTGCATCAGTTTCCTGATCAGAACTAGATTGCACCTATTGCTTGAGCTTATCTCGTATCTATACATATTTTGCTAGTATAACACTGTCTTGTCTTACTTGGGGAACATTGTAATTAATAAGCTTTTATTAAAAGAATGCTTGACTTTGTACATCTGAACAGGTGATAGCCGTTCTGGACACTTGTGGATATGAATAAGGGTTAAAAATGATCAACAGTATATTTAGAAATGAAGCTTTTTATTTTTATTTGTAATGTGATAGACATATGCCAATCCACGTGAAGATGTCACTGCTACTAAGGTTAGTCACTAATAAGTCCTACTTACTCTGAATGTTGGGGGAGTGTGTGACAGTTTTCTGTTCCCTACAGTGTGTGTAGGCCTAAGCCTCGGGTGATGCTATTTGTTTTCTCTGAGAAGTAGCTGACATTTCTATGAAATTCTTTCACTTTTAACAGTTCTTATCTAGGAAGCACCTAGATATATGATGTTGTTGAGATGGTCTTTTTTATTATTAGTGACACTGATGTGCCCACAATTGGAACACATTTTGAGGGCTACTGGCTTTTAGGTATTTTTCAGTTGCTAACGGTTTCCACGGCAACATATACCACTGTTGTCAGTCTGAGGAAGCCAATGGAGGGAATTGCAAAGGATGGCAAAATGCCTACTGTTATTAACAGAGGGAATGTAAATATATAGATGCCTGACAGTAGGTATGGTCCACTCCACCCGGGAGCTAAGTGTGGCTGAAAAGCCACAATGTAGCTGTCCTGATATAGGTCTTTGAAAGGATTCTTGTAGAAACATCATGTTTCTACATCAGTTTTCATCAGTTTTAACCAAACTGAATTATAAGCTGATTGCCCTTTATTACAATGGGCAGGTTAGAGAGAAGTCTGGACAAAGGACCTGTCTATTGCAAAGACCTTGGTGGGGACATGCAATTTTGTCTTTCTAAATGGAGAACTGAGTTTCAGCCCTACCTGAGAAAGCAGGATAGTATATGAAGTGGGGACCAAGGCTATCCCTGTTCACCGTGATGCTAGTTTCTTAGGGAAACCTCCCCAATAGTTTGGCCCATTGCTACCAGTTTACTACACCCAAGAAAAATTAATAGTAGCCATTGGTAACTAAATCTGCTCCTATGTGAATAGTTCATCATCTGCATACATTCTCACTCTGGGTTCAGTTTCTCCCCCCTTTTTTTTGGTGATTGTAGAATGCAACAAAGAGAATGTTGGGAATTGGTTGTTCACTATCCAATAGGTGCGTGAAACGTTGCCTTTCTGTTTTAGTCAAATAATAGCAAAACAATCTGCACAAAACATGCACATTACTTAGAACAAAATGTGAAGAAGTGATTGAATGTGAAGAAGTGATTAGTTGTCTCATTTCTTGTTTCTCTTAAGTTTTTTAAAAGTAGGCCTGGCTTATTCAGATGGTAATCACAGGTTTTCAGTGAGCTGGGAATGAAACAGAGATGAAGGTCCAATTCCCTAAATAGAAGATTTCAGAATTATGTTAATTCTGGTCCTGCATCTTTTATACAAGAGTCAAGGTGCACATTGTGTGTGTGAGTTCTTTAAAGAGAAAATCTTGACTTGTACCCATTTAGATAATTGCCCCTTGTCATCAGGAAAATTGTAGGGATGGTATCTGTGTCCATGTTGTTTTGCTTTTCAGTTAGCTTGTCAACAGATGCTCTCGTGTAGGTGTAAGGGCGGGAGTGGGGAACAGTGGAAGGCAGTGCTTTCAGTGGCAAAGCAACAACTTGCTCTAAACTGAAAGGGCCTGATTTCATCATGAGTCTTGGTTTAGTCATTTGTACTCACATAAATTTAGGAGAGAATCATGGGCATGTCAAAGAACAATGTTCTTCTGGGAGAATAGGTTCTTTATGTTTTTGAGCAGATGGTGGCGGGATTTGTAGTCTCCCAGATACCTTGCTTGTCTTACTGGCATGTATGGATGGATTTGTATATTTTAAGGCATCACAAAATGATTTAGAACCCATTGGCTGTGGCAAAGATACTTATAGCCAGCAAATGGTGAAGCTGTAATACTGCTGAGTGAAAATATTGGTTATTTAGACATGGAAAATTGCAGAGATGAAAAAAGTAATGCAATACATATATATTAAACAGAAGGTGGAAAAAGACTGGAATAATTTTATTCAGTTTGCTTTGGGTTTCTAAGATTATAGAAGGCATTGTGTTCATACACTCTGAAGGAGCTCAAGGTGGCCTACATAGTTTTCTCCTCTCCATTTCATCCACACAACAATCCTGTAAGATAGGTTAGGCTGAAATCCTCTGACTGACCAATGTCTTCATGGCTGAGTGTGGATTTGAACTTTGGTCTCCTAAGTCCTCACCCAGTACTCTTGTCCTGTACTCTAACCACTACACTGGCTCTCTAACTGTGAGGTCTATAAACTTTTTATATATACATAAAAAGAAATATGAGATTCTTATGAAGTTTAATTCTGTATGCAATACTGCATTTTGTGCTTTTTTTGCGCCACAACAGATACATAGCCCTAAATAAAAGGAGCTGTCCTATATGGTTAGACTATAGCTCTGTTGTCTGGGCTCCTTTAACTACAAATGCCAGAGATTAAAACTAAATTTTTCTACATGTAAATAATACACTCTTACCACTGAGTTGTGACTCTCTCCTTCACCAGATTTTGCAGCAGCAGGTGGGCTTGTTTCACTTTGGGTTAAGGGTTTGCACCTAACAAGTTCTCAAATTAGGAACTTCGGTAGCCAATAAGCAGAGCAGTGCAATAGTGATTTAGTTTTGTTCAGTGTGAGCCAACCAAATTATTTTTATATGATCTTGGGTCAGCTACGTCATATACCTTGTGATTTCCTATGGTCCTTTTTACTCATAATATGGGTATGGTGATAGCCACATGGGTATGTGAGAATAGCAAACTGATATTTCTGAAGGAAACTACATGCTCACTGTAATCCTTTTAAGAACATCAGAACGTAAGAATGGGTTGCTGGATCAGGCCAATGGCCCATCTTATTCAGCATCCTGTTGACGCAGTGGCCAACCAGATGCCTGGGGGAAACCAGGGAGCAGAGCATGAGCATAAGAGCATTTTCTTCTCCCCTCCTATGATTTCCAGCAACTGGCATTCAGAAACCTAAGACCTTTCCTACAGCTTGTAAAGGTAAAGGGACCATTAGGTCCAGTCGTGGCCGACTCTGGGGTTATGGCGCTCATCTCGCTTTATTGGCCGAGGGAGCCGGCGTACAGCTTCCGGGTCATGTGGCCAGCATGACTAGGCCGCTTCTGGCGAACCAGAGCAGCGCACGGAAACGTCGTTTACCTTCCCGCTGGAGCGGTACCTATTTATCTACTTGCACTTTGACGTGCTTTTAAACTGCTAGGTTGGCAGGAGCAGGGACCGAGCAATGGGAGCTCACCCCATTGCAGGGATTTGAACCGCCGACCTTCTGATCGGCAAGTCCTAGGCTCTGTGGTTTAACCCACAGCGCCACCCGCGTCTACAGCTTAGGGTGGGCCAGTTCTGTGCCACAAAGCAAAGGAGGAGGGTAATTGAATGCGAAAAGTTCTAAGCACCAGATAATCTACTTTATCTGAAGAAATATCAGCCTTTTGTAACAAACAGCTTATGAATAATAGCTACCGGTTATACAACTTCTATAAAATTACTAATTAAAACCATATGAGAGTTTATAGGCCATCCAGCCAAGCCTTTTGCCCATTTGTTCCACATTTAGCTTTTCCTCGATTCTTTCTTGCCTAGTGAGGAATAGTTCTATAATAACATCCTTTTAGTCTTGTCTCCAAGCTCAATAATAATTGATTATAATCATCTGCCTCTGACCTACAAAATCCTTAATAATGTATCCTTATTTTTTCTGGGCTCTGACCTGAAAGCAGGCCGATAATTTACAGGACCCCTGAACGTTATCTGGCAAGCTTCAGATGACAGTGAAAATGTCTGTTTGTTCTTTCCAAGAATAAAATGTCTGTTTGTGTGATTCAGATACCTTTATGATGGAAAAAATATTCTTTTCTGTATACTCTGACATTGCTAACTCAACCCAGTCCCTGCCGCTTTTCAAAGCAGCAGTTGCTAAAATGTCATTAATTAAAAATTGTAGAGAGATCTATGGTCTCTGTCATAGTTTAAATCAGATAGATGTAAATGAACAGAACCTCACATTTTCATAGACAAAGCTATTCATCCATTCCTTTTATCTAACAGACTATTCTTAGGAAGGAAAGATCTGCCATGGCTAAGCAGGCTCCGATTCCAGTTGCTGGAAAATCTTTCCAACAGTAGTACTGTGTATTTGGGGTTTGAGATAATATGTGTAAAGGCTCACTGTCGCCATTTTTGCTGTGGGTGCCCAGCCTCCACACCCTGCCACCACAGCTGCTGCTCTTCACAGGACACAGAAGTCACTTTGGAAACCTAGTGGACGTTTAGTGCTAATTTCAGTGTTAATTGCTTCCAGAGAAAATATACTTGCGAGCCTATTAACTCAGAAAATCATGGGACAAAATTTGGGGGCAGTATTTTGGCATAAATTTCTTTCCCACCATTTTCATGGGTGCATCATGGGTAGTGGTAATGACATGTCCAATGACACCTGTTGTTATGTCACACTATGACCAAGCTTGTGAAGGGTACTTGGCATGATATCAATCAAAAAACTTTGTAAAAGGAATGCAGAATTGCTAGCATTATATATATATATATATATATATATATATATATACACACATACACACACACACACACACACACAGTATTTAATTTTTTAAAATTGATTTTCCAGAATTTTAAACAAACAAACATACATCTTAACTGTACTTAATTCAATCTTGGTGACATTGTTAAATGACTTCATCGAATCCCCCTGGCTGAATTTCATTGTACAGTGGTACCTCGGGTTACATACGCTTCAGGTTACATATGCTTCAGGTTACAGACTCCGCTAACCCAGAAATAGTACCTCGGGTTAAGAACTTTGCTTCAGGATGAGAACAGAAATCGTGCGGCGGCAGTGGGAGGCCCCATTAGCTAAAGTGGTGCTTCAGGTTAAGAACAGTTTCAGGTTAAGAACGGACCTCCAGAACGAATTAAGTACGTAACCAGAGATACTACTGTATATCATTGTAACAGTTTTCCAAAACCAATTTTCTTATAAAATTAACTTAGTCACTTAACATCTTTCTTCCTTTTCATTTTAACTTTAAACATATTATTCTCTAACATTGCATATTTAAATCCTAAGCCTATCTGGTATTTGCAAGTTTTTCCAATTAAGTTATCTTAGGATATTTAACTAAATAGTCTTTGAATTTCATCCAATCGTCCTGGTACTCATCCTCCTTCTGGTCGCGGACTCTTCCAGTCAGGTCGGCTAGCTCCAAAAACTCCATCATCTTCATCTGAGAATCGCTAGCATTATAACCAAGAAAATGAACACAGCAACACACCCATTATTGTTCACACGTGTCTTCAATGTATGAACGTAGTCCTAGTGTATTTTTGGTCTTTGTGGAAGCCGCCCAGAGTGGCTGGGGAAACCCAGCCAGATGGGCGGGGTACAAATAATTTATTATTATTATTATTATTATTATTATTATTATTATTATTACAAAATGTATAACTCTTACCTTTCCTTCTCCCCTCCCTATTCCCTAGTACCTGTGTTATTCTGCTAAAAACCCCACAATCTGTGTTAGGAAGCAGGAGAGTGCTAGGGGGCATTCCATTAGAGATGTGACACTTACTAATTTCTTGCTTCGATTTTTCAAGCTCGGTATTTGTAAATGTAAGCAAGCCAGTTATCCAAATCTCTTCATCTGTAACAGTGCATTTGGAATTAATAGTTAACATGCAGCAAGTTGATACACAGCCAGTCAATTTAGACCAGTTTAGATTGCACAATTTCTTCATTAGCAGCCTCTCTTATTTTTAGAACTTAATGTCCCAGGAAGTTTAACGATTGTTAGACTTGAACACTCTCTTTCATAGCCAATGTACCAATAATGAAGCTTGTTAAAATACAGTAGGCATACTGGTCTTGATCTCAAATGTGTCCCCCCTACCCATTAACTCATTATAGCTGAGGTGGTGGGCCTTCTCTCCCTCAGCTGCCACCACAGTTAAGAACTGAGAAAAGGACAGCGTGTGATGGAGAGAGCTGCCTCTAGCCTTGTTCCCAAAATGACAGTAGTCCCTTCCTCTCACACTTGCTATCACATGGCTAAAGTCCTGGGTGGAAAAGAGAGAACATAGAATACCCTATGGATGGTTCTTCTTTGGCGATCACTCATAGCTGAGTAAGATTGTCTTCCATAAACATGGTTTTAACAATGAGTCCGTAAGTGACTGTGGAGGCCAATTCTGGATCCACACATCCTTCCACAGTGGGGACATTGGCTTCTGGGTGGGAGTTGATCACGGTGTAGATTTGCCAAGTGTGCCTTCCTCCTAGCCCGTTTCTCCCTTGCGTCCTGAGTTCGAGTGTCTTCAAAGCACATGACACCTTTGCCCAGGGGTAGGCAACCTAAGGCCCATGGGCCACAAGCAGCCCACAGGGGTCATTTAACCAGCCCACAAGCTGCCCCTGAACCGAGCTGCCCACTCAGCGAGTCCCCATGTGCTGCGCTAAACTGGTGCAGCGCGGCACGGGGACTTGCTTCCGCGGTGCCAGAAATCGCGTCTGCTCAGACACAGATGCCAGAAAACGAGTGCAATCTGGCCCACAGAGGGATCTCTGCTGGAGTGAACCAGCTCAGGCAAGGTAAACCTTGCCGACCCCTGGAATAGCCTCTGCTCAAATAAATAACAATGTCCCTAAGGTTTGTAACTCATTTGTCTGGAATATGCACCTTGGTTACTCTTAATGTTCACCTTAAATATGAGGGAAGCATTATGAGCCCTAATTTATTATTTGACTTCACCTTTTGTTCATAATTGGACTCAGGACAAGCAGCTCCATATTCCAGTTTTGGAAGAAAATTGTTGTAGAGCCCAACTATGATCTGAACCAGGGAAGAAGAGGGGAGCTGCCCACTGCTAGAGCTTTCTTCATATATTCATAGACTGGGGTTGGGGCATGAATTGTGGAAGGGACTGTGCATCCCAGCCCTGCCCTAATATCCCTGCCCTTTGAGTGACACCCCCAATGTTCCCACATTGAATGGGAAGGTCTGAAGGGTTGTTGTTGTTGTGGCATTCAGGCAAAGACACTTTGAATCCTCCTTGCACTATCAGATTTTATATATATATAGTTTACAACAGCCATTATATAAAATTGCCCTGAACCGCTATCCATCAACATTTCTGCCAGTTTATGGAATAATACTTTGGATTCCTCTTGAGGATCAGGAGCCCTCAGAAGCAACACCTCATGGGGTGCAGCAAATCCACCAGGAGGAAAGAAAAACTGTATCACCACGATGCCAGGAGCACCCAGAAGCACTTCGCCATGATTTCCTCCCCCCCCCCCAAATAATTGACAGCAATATAACCATCCCCATGATAGCTTGCTACACTGAATGTTTTGGTGCACATGTGTGACTTAAATCTATATATCTCCTCTTTACAAAAACTGTGATCGATATTATCTTTATAGTGTCTATGGAACAGTTGAACTCTCACCCCTCTCCACTCCCTGGTAAGCTGAATCAAATCAAGGCCACCAAGAAGCGAGGTGAAGGCATTTTTTTGTCCTTCTGTTGAACCTCACGCTATTGGGGTGAGGAAAAGCCACAGACTGTCTTCCTCTGACAGTCATTCACTTTTACTCTTTGGTCTCTTTTGCTAAAGAGAATGACAATTAATATAATACTTTGATGATAACTTCACTAGCTCAATATCATGGATACAACCTTTGTTCTCTAAGAGCTTAACAGCGATCACTATCTAATTTCACACATGATTGGACTGAGATCACAGATGGGCCAAATCAAATAGAGTAGGCATTTGCTCATGACTGGAGTGTTTCACATCTCAGAGCTACATTGATCCAGCTGATTTGTGGAAATCAGAATTACTGTGACCCCGAGCTCCAAACTGCTTAAATTCCAGAAAACAATTTGTCTCATGATTACAGCAATACAACAGTCTGGACATAACCTGTGACCTATGTTTCATGAATGCCTTTCACTCTTAAAAGGTGGTGCTTTTCCCTTCTTGCTCTTAGCTCTTTGATGGGTTTGTTTTATTGCCTTTCTATGAAAGATTGATAGTATTTTATCACTGAAAAAACCTAGGGTAGATTAGAACAAGGATGGACAGAAGATAGATTGGAATATACTGGTAAATCATGGAGTGAGATGAATTAGATCAATGAGTATTTCTGACTTCCAGTTTTGTGAATGGGATGGAAAGCTCAATTTGCATACAATGTACTTGGTCCAGCAAATCCTCTGGGCACCCTTGGACATACACTCCCAATTGCTGCTTTCTAGCAGGGTTTGCTGTTTAAATTTGGTGCCCAATGCAAGCCCTGCTCCTTTCAGCAGAGATTGGCTCTACTCTGGAGCTCTAATTGGAAAAGGAAAGGGGAAGATGTGAAAAACAGAAAGGAATGTCAACAGCAATCTGTATTGCTTTTTCTTCAGTTGATTTAATGAACATGCTTCTTGTTATGTTCAACATTCCAATATGCTACCAATATGTTCACAATAAAATAAAGAATTTGATGAGATACAGTTTGCTAGATGACATGATGCATACTAATGGTAGGGTAAATGTGATAGATTTGCCTGTTCCTGACTTTGAAATATAATGTATTAATCTCTTCCCAAGATGTGGATTCTAAACATTTGGAGCTCATCACCAAAAATGGGAGATTTTTCCAAGCTTTGTACTATAAATTCATCATTTAATTTCTTCAAAATCAGATACCTTTGAAAAGCGAAAAGATAAAATCTACAAATGTAAACTTCACATCGCATGTTGTTGTGAAAACCTTTACACCAAAAATGACTAATTTTAATAATTTTAGTAATATGGGTCAGAAAGAACACTGTATCCTTTTGATATCTAATCACTCACTCTGAATCACAATTGCATGAGCCTTGTGATTTCTAAAACCCAGAGAATGGCTGTTACTCAGAGAACTGATCCTGGTACCTGTAAAAGAACTGCCAGAACAAGGAACAATTTGTGAACAATCAGATACTCAGTAGTACGTCTTAAACTCAATGTGTGTTCAACAATACTTGTTCCGGAAGATGCAGCTACAGAAGCAACTAACAAATGTTACTGTTGGAGCCACTATTGATTTTCAAGAACTCTGATCAATCTCTAGCAGCTGTCTAGAAAATATTTTAGAAGGTGGAATAAAAAAATGGTGGAATAAAAAATGGGTGGTTCACTAAGACTTGGTTTTATTCCTGTTAAGAGAAAAATATTTAGGTTATCCCCATTGTTAGTCTTACCCAGATTTCAAAGGGTCTACTCTGAGCATGACTAACATTGGATATCATTATGTGGGTTGCTGGTGAACCTATTACAAAGCAACCTATGACCTGATCTCTGTTTGGCTTCCAATTTTTGTTTTTAATTTAAGTGCAGGTGCTTGTGTCACTTATGACTTTGAGTCTGTTATGCATCTGGGTACTAGTTGCCTGCATGCTCTGCTTGTGGGCTTCTTGGATAAATCTGATTGGCCTCTAAAGAAAACAAGATGCTGGACTAGACAGAATAGCTGGGCTAGACACATAGATGCTTCAAGGGGAAATGGCACTATCACCACTCCTTGCCTCTTTCCCTTCCCTTTTCAAATAATACAGAGTATGCTTTCCTTGGGATGCGGGTGGCACTGTGGTCTAAACCACAGAGCCTAGGGCTTGCTGATCAGAAGGTTGGCAGTTTGAATCCCTGCAATGGGGTGAGCTCCCGTTGCTCGGTTCCTGCTCCTGCCAACCTATCAGTTCCAAATCATGTCAAATGCAAGTAGATAAATAGGTACTGCTCCAGCAGGAAGGTAAACAGCATTTCCATGCGCTGCTCTGGTTCGCCAGAAGCGGCTTAGTCATGCTGGCCACATGACCCAGAAGTTGCCTGTGGACAAACACCGGCAATCTGCGTATTGGACCTAATGGTCAGGAATACCTTTACCTTTACCTTTATGGTTTCCTCACCAATTCCCCACTGCCAGCAACCAATGTTATGCAATGGGAGCATGGGAATGGACAGTGGTGCATTTAGATAATTTTACACTTTGGATTACGTCTTACATGGGCCACACTCTCAAGATGGTAAATGTGCACGACTTCTAGTAGCAAATGTCATTGTGTGGCTGCATCGCTCACCTGACCTCCTTCCATCTGAGATGCTGCTGTATAGTGGGATTAGAGAGGGAGAAGGGTGAGGTGGTGGCAAGGTCAGGGATTGGTCAAATCTGGTGCTCTTGCTGGCACATTTGTGCCACACCCACTTCACCACCACCTTGTCCCTTCACCCTTCTGTCTTGGGATGCAGCAATGACTCAGCCAGAGGGAGGTCAGGTGACCAGTGTACCCCACCACACCATTCACTGCAGATTTGTTCACCTATTTCAAAATGTGGTAGGCCAGTCCTAATGCATTTGGATGCCCCTCCTGCCCTACTCTGATGGTGCCACTGGCAATGGACAGTACAACAATATCATGCTAGGAATTGCATTATGCTAGATGTTACCAGGAAGAAACAAATCATATGCCACCATTCTCCCCCCGCCCCGTCCTGACCCCCACTGCTCTGCTGACTTCCTAATTTTATTATGTGCTCATTCTAACTCATTTTTCTTCATTGAAAGGCATTGTGTGATACCATTGCTTGGAACTGTGTGAATATTCTTCTTGTTTGCAGTTCTGTATTACATACACACTGAGCAATTTCTAATGAAATTAACCTTGTAACTTTTCAGTCAGCACCATCAAAATGACATAGGGATCATGATTATAAATTGGTGCCATCTGAAGGGTAATGGTTTTGGAAACTGTTATGATCGCATGATAATAATAATAAAAAAACCCATGCACAACATCTATACACTGGCAGGCTGTCTTTGGAAAATTAGATTCTGCATTTTTCATTTAGTTCAAAGTTAGCTCAGGAAACTGGCAGCAGAATTTGCTTCCCCAAGCTAGAGGAGCCGATTTTTAGATGAAGACCTCTTATTTTATAATTGTTCAAGGAATTCAGAGGCATTAAGCCTCCTTGAAAAGCCAAGGAACTATTAAGCCTAAGCCAAATGTTTTCTAGTAAGAACTTCTGGCTTCAGTTTTGGTGTGTGCGTGCATGTGAAAGTTGCCTTGAAACTTACTCCTATAACTCTCTGTGGCTTGTCTTACAACAGCAGTGACTACCTACTTGTGACTGCACCCTTTTGGGGGACTGGCAGCCGCCATTTTATTTCTCAGAAGGCCTGTGGTAATGACACTATGCCATTACATAGCATTCTTCCAAGTTGGCATTTAGGGTAAATGGGAGCCACTATCAGCCTCCCAGGGATGTGGGTGGCGCTGTGGGTTAAACCACAGAGCCTAGGACTTGCCGATTAGAAGGTCGGCGGTTCGAATCCCCGTGGTGGGGTGAGCTCCCGTTTCACAGTCCCAGCTCCTGCCAACCTAGCAGTTCGAAAGCACAGTGCAAATAGATAAATAGGTACCGCTCCGGTGGGAAGGTAAACGGCATTTCTGTGCGCTGCTCTGTTTCGCCGAAGCGGCTTAGTCATGCTGGCCACATGACCCGAAAGCTGTACGCCGGCTCCCTCGGCCAATAAAGCGAGTTGAGCGCCGCAACCCCAGAGTCGGCCACAACTGGACCTAATGGTCAGGGGTCCCTTTACCTTTATGAGCCTCCCAGAGGAGTGCCGCTGCTTAGTAAGCACCAGATTTTTTACTCTTTTGTGAAAAATCACTGAAATTCCCCCTCCCCTTATTTTTTGCTGCCTGCAGATATGGTAGCCAGTTTTGGGGGCCAAGGGAATCAGATAAGTATGAGAAATTATAGTTTTTAAAAAACCCTTCAACTTTTATAAGGCACCAGGGGTTTTGAACTGAAGACTAATAAGACATAAGCACTGGAGTACAAACACATATGCTGGGGAAAATTATAAACAGTGAGGTCCTGAAATGCAGGAAGTACAGACAGGGATCAGTATGTTGTTAACTGTAATCTAGCGTTCCATTGTCTTTTTACAAGAACTTATTATTGGTGGGAGGACTCTGTTTTAAAATGACTCAGTTTATTTGGATAGATCTATTTTCTAGGAAATGTTATTCTACAGTCCTTATGTTTCATTCCAGATAAAAGGTAATCATTATGGTGCTAGCAAAACATAAATATTTTTTAAATCAACTTATCACTAGCTCACAATACTTTGGAAAATTCATTTGTACGGGATATCTTTTACATTAGTAACAGATTTTTGAAAGCAACTTTGTGCAGATTTCCCACTGGGAATTAAGAACATAAGAAGAGCCTGCTGGATCAGGCCACTGGTCCATCTAGTCTAGCATCCTGTGGCCAACCAGTGGCCAACCAGATGCCTATGGAAAGTCTGCATATGGGAGCAGACAAGCAGGAAGCGAGTGTGAGAGCAGTCTCCCCTCCTGCAGTTCCCAGCAACTGGCATTCAGAAAAATGCTGCCTCTGATGGTGGAGTAGCAAGTCTACTTAGAAGTAAGCCTTTATGGGTTAAGACCATTAAGTGGAAGCTATTCCCTAGCTCCTTGTTTACTGGAAATAAGCATCAGAGAGTCTTGTGGTACGAGAAAGATCGTGACACACAGTGGCATTTGCTGTAATTTTATAGCCATTCCTTTGTTAAATGTTAAGCTCTGAGGAGCATAACCTTTCCGATGTCAGCTTGCATCAAGCTCTTTGTCATTTTGCAAAACTTGGAAAATGGCATTTTAATTCTGGCTTAATTGATTACCTTTGGTCTGGCTGTGAGCCAAATTTCCCAAGCAGCAGTTCTGTGGAGCTTGCCGCTTTTCAAATGTTGCCAATCTGCTGTGGAACAAAGAGACAAAAACCTGAATGTGTTTCTACTTCGGTATCGCTGGTTAATCTGCTGCACGAGAAAGTTCTGTCGCTACTTAGTGCTAGGTATGTTTATATGACGATTTATATGCTGTCAATCACCACTACTTCAAAAAAGGTCTTCTACATGATAAGGAGCGTTCTGTACAATTGCTGGAGAAACAGGGGAAGCAGGTGACTGGGGCAAGGCAAAGGCATTTTAAAAGGTAAAGGTAAAGGGACCTCTGACCATTAGGTCCAGTCGTGACCGACTCTGGGGTTGCGGCGCTCATCTCGCTTTACTGGCTGAGGGAGCCGGCGTACAGCTTCCGGGTCATGTGGCCAGCATGACTAAGCTGCTTCTGGCGAACCAGAGCAGCGCACGGAAACGCCATTTACCTTCTCGCCGGAGCGGTACCTATTTATCTACTTGCACTTTGATGTGCTTTACTCGTGACCTAATGCGTGTCATTGAGGAGGAAAGCAACTGACGTAGGAATGGGGATATGATCAGATGCAGATGGGAGTGGGTAGGGATGAAGTTAGCATTAGACCAAATCAATGGCCAAAACAAACATCCTGAGTATTAAAATACATGCAGGAATGAATGAAGCTGGGTGGGGTTGTTCCTCTGGGACCACCAAATGTATCTGTGAGGAGAGAATGCATAAGAGGAAGCTTGCCAGACCAGTTTCTTTGACAAGGCAATGGCTTCGGCTGACCAAAATTAAGCATATCCCAAGAAGTTTCTCTGTGGCCTTTCCCCCACCAAGCTCATAGGAGGAAACAAACTCAGGTAAGCACAGGGACCCCTGGAGTCTCTCACTACTTGGAGATATGCATATAAACACACATATTTTCCATGTATAGTATAATGTTTGCCTGCTTTGCATCTAAGAAACAACGCAGAGTTGCTGGCAATACAAAGAAACAAGCTGGCTCTTCTGAATCTAGACCACTCAGCAGGGCTTCCTGAACACTGTGTTTTCAGTTTGGAGAAGATTGAACAAAAAGCCAAAGTCTGCACTACAGGGGCCCTAATTAGCTTTCCATGAGCATATGTACGCCGGAATCATTAAGAGTGCATTCTTAACTTTTAGCTAAGCAAAAGCTTCTCTCAATTGCCGTGCAGAATCCATGTTGTAATGTTGCAAATAAAAAGGGAGACTAATCCCTTCAATGTTAAGAATTTGTGCCGTTTCAATATGAATTCTTTAAACCCAACCAGGAATTAATGTAAGCTGTTGGCTATTGTAGCTCTGCAATTGGACAGAAGCTTAGCGCTTAAACCAAGACAGTCAGCAGTGCTCTTATTAGCACCCTGTGGGTGCTTCCTGCTAAGTAAAAAGCGACTTGTTTTCTGTCTCAAGTAACACAAAACTGAAATATCTACCTCCCTGCCCCTTGCATGCTTCTTGTCAAATGTGTAATACATCTGTACCACAATCAAGACAGGTCCTTTAGCTGCATTCTTTCTTTTTTCTTAAAACAGTTGCGCTCTTTCTCTCAGCGGACAACACAGGAAACTGTTGACAAATCTCTTGTGGTTCTAAGGGTTTCAGAAGTTTGTGTTTAAATAACTGGCAACTGAGGATAGTAAAGTACTCCAAATTTGCTGCCATTCCCCCCATTTCTGGTATGTGGCAAAATCACACCCAGGTTGTGCTTCACATGAAAAGGAATGGATAATTTGACACATCCCGAGACATGTGGTTTCTAAAGATACAGAACTTTATAGGCAGTAAGCTTAGTGTAATTACCTTTTCAGTTGATAAAAACTTGAGTGCGGTTCTTTCATCTCCTGATAGTTAAAGTAGACTAGGAGCCCACTTAAATGTGTCTGATATTCCAATGTAAGATGAAATACAAGGTGGCCAAATCTGGGGGGGGGGGGGGCGGGAATAGATTGCATAACCTAACAGTACTTTGTAAATGTATTTAATTATAAAATAGTTATAAATATTTATATTTTTAAAAAATATTTATATATCCCCGTTCACAAAACAACAAAGCAAAATGTTATACGTAAAAAAAGCTTATGATAAAAACCATGCAAAATGTTAAAATCAGAAATCAGCTAACTATTTTGGGAAACCAGATAACATAAATGGTCCTTGCAGCCCAAATAACAATGCTTTTCACTCCTGTAGAAGACCCTTCTGTGTTGAATGCACTCCTACATTTCTTCTGTAAGAAATCTACTACTCTGTCCATAGTTAAGCATGTTTGCTCTAAGGTCAACCATTGATTTTCTCAATCCATCACAACTCCCAGGAACAATTTTGGCCAGCCTCTGTTTGCCTTAGTATTGTGGAAACAGCCAGACACCCATGGGGATTCTGTAGCTGTATTTATGCTGGCTGATTTGTACTTCTTTTTTTAAGAAGTTGTCTCAACACCAGCCTTTACAGTTAATGATAGTATCTTCTGAAGTTGTAGACTTCTCTTGTAAGGCAGTTCAGCTCAGAAGAAGCCAGCACTTCCACTAAGTCACTCTTCTGGACCTTGACAACACCAGAAGAATGCCATTCTATTTTCTGATGCTTTCAAGAAAAATCCCTCATGGAAACCTGGAGGAATGATACACAGTGGGTGTAATTAAACAATATACAAGCAAACTTCCTCCTTCCTTCTCCAATTCTGCTCTGGAGAGTCCCCCAATCCTCCAGAGCAGATTTTAGGGGGCTGCATAGAGGAGGAAGAATGGGCACCCCACTGCATGAGAAGTCCATTTCAGCCATGCATGGACACCATTGGATGAAACCTAGTAGACCTATTTCACTGTAGAGAATCTGCAGTTTCAGCTGTGTACACTAACACACTGCATAGTCACACTGTAGCATCTCATGGCTGTGGCTCAATGGTAGAGCATTTGCTTTGCAACCAGGAGATCTCAGATTCAACCCAGGTAGGGCCAGAAAAGATCCCTACCAGAAATCCTTGGTACCCACTGCCAGCCAATCTGAACAATCCTGAGTTAGATGGCCAATGGTTTAATTCAGGCTTCCTCAAACTCAGCCTTCCAGATGTTTTGAGACTACAATTGCCATCATCCCTGACCACTGGTCCTACTAGCTAGGGTTCATGGGTGTTGTAGGCCAAAAACATATGGAGGGCTGAGTTTGAGGAAGCCTGGTTTAACTAGTTTAGTTTAATTATGGTTTATAGAAGTTGCTGGACTATAGTTACCATCATCCCAAGCCAGCATTGCCAGTGGTCAGGAATGAAGACTGTGCTGGATCTACACATTTTTCCAGTGGGGCAAAAGTCTGCAGTGCTACCCTCCTTTCCTGCAGTTTCATATTCCCTCCCACAATGGCACTATCAAGTGGAGATGAGGAGATATGAAGGGAAGAAAGTGCAAAAGCGGAGAGCATGAGCGCAGGGGTGTGTGCAGAATCCCACTGTGCTAGTGCTAATCCTTGCACTAGTGCAACTACTTAGTTGAATAACTTGCAGAATGAACATTTATGGCTGGCCTGCTCATTTCAGCTCATGCCGCAGGAGCTGTAATGCACAATTCTAGACACATCTACTCCAAAATTGGGTTCCATGGGGCTTACTCCTGCGTAAGTGTTTGTAGGGTTGTTATGCCTAATTGTAGCTATGCCCACAGGCTTGGACTCTGAATGTGAGACCCAAAATGGACTATTCATTTTGTTGCTGGGTACAGCTTATTAAAAATGTATCGAGCCAAGGGCACATTGTGAGGGCCTCAATTTGGCACGCCGGCATGCCATGAAAAATGCATAAGGTTTTATTTTTGTCCTTCATCAAGTGAGAACTGAGCTAAAAATAACATCTGTGGGCAAAAAAAGAAAAGAAAAAAAGAAAAAGATCCACTCAACCCATCCCTCATCTTTTCCTTGTTCAATTTACGGGATAACCAATGACCTACTTATTGTTGGAGGGAAGACATTTTTGTGTGTGCTGCTGGCTTTGTGAAGTTGTAGTCACTCTTCCTAAGAAGGAATAATTCATTTCATAAGCAAATTGTTTATCTGTGGTTTAGAAATTGCCGCTTAACGTCTAGGGAAATATTCTTCATGGAGAGCATCAATTTGGTGGATTTTCAGCTGTGGCTTTTTTTTGGATATTACTGGAAGTGCTTGCTGGCTATCAAATTGCATGCTGCCTGAACCTGCTGTTAGGCAGTGACACGAGAATGCTATCATCCTCATTATTATTTTCTTTACAATCAATGCCCCTGGTGCTTTATAGGCTAACATAAGCCAGAAGATGAGTCCCTGTTTCTAGGAGTTCAGAGTCTCAAATTCAACGGAAGAAGAGACCCTGAATGGAAAGAAGGAAAGGGAGACATGAACGTCACAAGGGATGGGATGTGGGCAACCACTCTACTGGGGTTGTGTTAGATTTTGGGATAAAGGCAAAGGGTTTTAGTATTTGACATAGATGCAATTCATAATGCTTAAAATAATATTGTGACTCATAATTTGGATCTGCTTCTTGCCATCCTTTTGGTTTGTTTCATTTCAGTAGGTTTTGTTTACTTATTATAACCCACAACATCTTGGGCCATATCCAACACTGCAGCTCTGCTGGCATAATGGACTTCTGTGCTCACCATGGAACTTCCTATTTAACCCCTCTTTGCATCCTCAAAATTGGCTCTGGAGAGTTGGGGGAGGAGAGGAAAGGAAAGAAAGTTCTGTTATGCCAGTGGAACCACCCTTGTAGAGTATTGGATATAACTCCAAGTGGCCTATAATGTGTTAACAGCCATTTTTTGGCAATATTTATTAAGTTTGTGTCTCATCTTTTTTCGGCAATGGAAGTCAAGTGGCATGCAAAGGTAGTCCCAGACATGCTTAGCTTCTGCAAGGTTGTTGTATCATGCCTCAAATTATCCCTCTCCTACCAATGTGCTTTGATACATTTAATTTTATTGGGTGGCAGTTAAAAAGGTAAAGGTAAAGGACCCCTGACAGTTAAGTCCAGTCATGAAGGACTTTGGGGTTGTGGAACTCATCTTGCTTTACTGGCCAAGACAGTTTTTCCGGGTCATGTGGCCAGCATGACTAAGCCGCTTCTGGCGAACCAGAGCAGTGCGCAGAAATGCCGTTTACCTTCCTGCCGGAGCGGTACCTATTTATCTACTTGCACTTTGACGTGCTTTCGAACTGCTAGGAGCAGGGACTGAGCAAAGGGAGCTCATCCTTTCGCAGGGATTCGAACTGCTGACCTTCCGATCGGCAAGCCCTAGGCTCTGTGGTTTAGACCACAGGCAGTTAACTAAGCTTAATTCAGAGTATTTTACTCAAAGGGGAGCAACAGAGGAAGCATAGGACAGTGCTGTTACTGCACTAAAGTAAGTCTTTGTAGGACATTTTTCATATCTAAGGTCTACGTTTGCTTCTCCACTAAGCACATATTTTAATCATCACAATGCAGATGCTCATGATCCTACTCCTTCAAACATAAGTTCATATGAGAAATGTATAGATCAGTATTAGCAAACATTGCAGTTAGGGAGTTTCCAGTTCTGTTCCTGGATTCAAATGGAAGCTGAAACACAATGGTTAGCATTTTCTGCTTCTTGGTTGATTTCAATCAAACCCAGTTAAACTTGGCTGCTGAGGCACATGATGAGTTTCTTCAGATTTAAGCTCCCTGATTGTATTTAAGGAAAACTGCCCTTGCGGTTTTGTAGTCAAATTAAGCTGAGATGGCAGATGTCTATCTACTATGAAGAGAATTAGTAGGACAAGGGAAGATTTCAGATAGAAGTCACTGGAATTTGTAATTGTAGGAAAACACCGGAGACCTCATAATTTCAAATTTAAAAAATTGAAACACAAAAGCACACGGCAGCAAAAAGAACTACGAAAACCACCCTTTTGCATCAGAGGGCATTATGTCCTCCTTGACAGATTGCAACATGGCACTATTAACTGGGAAGCCTTAGAAATCATATTATTGCTTTACTGTCCTTGTGGGGGGCAGGGGAGAGGTGGATTAGGCAACCAATCAGTATGTGGATCTGAAAAGGGTCAGATTTCTGAGGTATAAGTCACAGCACAAAATGAAACAATCTGCAGTAACCTCTCTTCTCATGACGTCAACTGGAGTTGAAATAAAGTCTATTTCCACATCTCTCTTTGGAAACAGTAACAAGGCCTTAATTCCTTCCCCTTAACATTATGGCCTTTTAGGAAAACTAACAATTGCATTACTATAGCAATGAAATAGTGCATTCTCAAAAGGGAAGAGTAAGGATATACTGCAAAACACTCTCTGCCTGAGGTAACTCAACTTTTGCTGCTACACTCTTTTATTCTTGGTAAAATATCTTATTTACTTTATTTTTAAATAAATGAATAGATAGATAGATAGATAGATAGATAAGTTAGTGTTGAAAGTTTGGCACTCAAATTCTATGGCAGACTTGTAGAGTAGATCAGTGGGACTACTCTAAGGGTGGCTAAGTCTGGATCCAACCCTAAATGTTTCCTTGCAGTAAAGATTTCTGGGTAAAGTTAAGTCTACTTTCCACATTTTACCTCAGCAGTTTTATGTGGTGAACAAGCCCCTCTGGGAAATGTTGGTTGTGGTTTCCCTATTTTACAATTCTGTCATCTTTACCATTTTAGCAGTGTTCCAGGCTTTTGTAACCCACTGCTTCAGAGCAGGGGGCTTATGGTCTTGCAACACACTGCCATCTAAATTCTTGTCACAGCTAGCATGTTCCAAATATCCAAGTAGCACTAACTCAGGATTATACAGAACAGTGAGATAAACCACTATATATTTATGTTGTGAACTGCCTGGTGCTCTACAGATGAAGAGTAGTATACTAATTTAAGAAATAATAATATATATAAAGTAAAAGTCTCTCAGCAAAGTCTTAGAACATATCCACAAATGTGCATTAGACTAGTAGCATCTTCAGCAGAGATGGTTGTGGTATGTCCCAGCATCTTCCATGTGTATACATTTTTAACAACCTCATACAGAGTAATATGCCAGCAATGTAGCATTTTGCAGCAATGTTCTTTTATATTTGCCACAGGGGAAACATGTGTGACATTTTGTAAACATGCTCTTCTGGATGGAGGCTGAGATAGATTTTGTTTGTTTTGCATCCTCTCTAATTTAAAGCATTTAGTTAGCTTTATTGGTCTTTAGGTAGTGTAGGACAAAAAACACTTCTGACTACTAGCTACTTTTTGCAGTTGATAGTTGAGTATGAAAACAAATAGCCCAGGAGATAGTCTGGCATGGTCCATATGGATCAAGTACTCTCCACTGAAGTCATAGGGCTCCTCATGATTAAATCTGCAGTTGTACCTCTACAGTGAAAGACCTACTTACCAAACGTTAAACATTCCATGTATCTTTTCCAAGAGCCTTTGTGGCATAGGCTGGACAGCTCCTCTCAGCAAAGACATTGTTTGAAACAAAACATCATTGTGAACGTCTCTTTCAAACATCACATCCTCTCAGCCAAGTTTACATTCTGATCAGTATCAGCCTCCATGGCTGAGGAGGGAGACTACTTTGAAAGGTATTATTGCTCTGTGGATAACATGATTAAAGTACTTCCCTTCTATGTGTGGCTCAGTTCCTCCAGCTGAAATTGAACGGGATACCCCACCATCCCATCTACAAGAGATCTGCTGTTTGCATATGACCATCTGCGGTTCGAATCCCTGTGACGGGGTGAGCTCCCGTTGCTCGGTCCCTGCTCCTGCCAACCTAGCAGTTCAAAAGTACGTCAAAGTGCAAGTAGATAAATAGGTACCGCTCTGGCGGGAAGGTAAACGGCATTTCCGCGCACTGCTCTGGTTCGCCAGGTGCGGCTTAGTCATGCTGGCCACATGACCTGGAAGCTGTACGCCGGCTCCCTTGGCCAATAAAGCAAGATGAGTGCCGCAACCCCAGAGTCGGCCACGACTGGGCCTAATGGTCAGGGGTCCCTTTACCTTTACTTTTATCTAGACTGGGGTATTTCATCAATAGAGCTTCACACAGTCAGTTCCCACCCATTGTCCCCTGTTTTCAGCCAAGACTTCTGTGGTGTTCTTTGCTGTTATTCAAAAACACGATTCTTTCCCCCAAACTATTATTAAGGAACGTAGATTAATTTATCATTTTCTTGATGTTATAGTCAAACGTATGAGAAAAATCTCCTTGAAAGTGCTCTCACACAAACAAATCTTGAAAACAGAATAAATGGATTTTTCTGGCTGGAGAGCATGGAACGTGTAATACATATTTTATCTTTAGATGGTGCATTCTTGCTTTGTTATCCCACAGCCACTTCATCATTGGCATAATAAATAACTGCAGAACAAGTACAAAATGTTGGGAAAATGTTCCTGTGAAGATTTTGATTCTGGGAACAGGAAGTCAATTATTATACTTCTTCTGACTATTGTACTGTGTCCCCAGTTAAAATCTAGTTAGTTAATGCTGCCCAAACAGTAGGGTGAATAGTATTATATCCCCACAGGAATTAAATTCCAGTCCTTTCGGGGTGGGTGTTGCCATGTCTGCAGGGCATCTACTCTGATCTTGGACCATAGACCAGGGTTTCCCAAACTTGGGTCTCCAGCTGTTTTTGGACTACAATTCTATCTTCCCTGACCACTGGTCCTGCTAGCTAGGGATGGTGGGAGTTGTAGTCCATAAACAGCTGGAGACCCAGGTTTGGGAAACCCTGCCATAGACACATCAATCCACAGCAGAGGTGAGATAGACATTTGGGGGAAGAGGTTGTATTCTAGCATGGCTTTTCTGAAATGCTGGCCTTGCATCCTAAAGACCAAATCATTCGGTACTAATACTGGGGCTGGGATCACAGAAGAGAGAAGACGACAGATGACAAATGCACTGCAAGCAATGTGAGCCAAACAACACACAGTGTTTCTAATAGACAGATTTACCATCCATTTTACCATGGATGATCGTGGCTGACATTTTTATTATTATTCCACGTTTACTCTTTTGTCTTTGCAATATTGCAAAACACCTCGAGTCTCAAGGAGAAGACTGGGAAGCAAATGTAATTCTGCTGCTAGTTTTAATGAATATCATAATTGGTGTCAGGTCCAAATAATAGGGGGTCATTGGGCAAAGGGCCTTCTATGGGACCTCTGCCCTGTTACCCCGGTCTTTGCAAGAACAACAACAAAAAAATTAAATTACACAACTGGATCTTGGTGGAAGAATAAATGATGTGAAATTACCAGCAAAAATTAAATAAAAGGAAACAAAGTCAGCTATGCAGATTTGTATACTTGGTTGCAACTGAAGTATTTGGCACAGATGGCACACAGGGGCCTGCCTACATTTAATAATTTTGGGGTTGTTTTTTTTAAATGGGGAATAGGCTGCATGCATTTGATGACATTTTTCATGTTTTCTCTTCCCACTTAAGATGCCCTGCTTGAGCTCTCACACTCACACTGATGCTGTCTTAGCACGCCCCAGGACTGAGCATGTTAGCTCTGATCCTTTTCAAGTGCTGTGCCTGACCTCTGAGTTCCTGCTGACCACTCTGATGCTCCCTCTCCTCTCATCCTGACAGCTTGATCTTTTCTTCATAATCCCTCTGACAGGTCCCTTGGTTTTATTGGTGGGCTCCGCTTGACCAGTCTCACTCACTCTTCTGTCTTCTTAGTGAGGCAGCCTTTGCCTTGGCTCCTTCAGTGCTCTGACTTGCATCAAATCTGCAATCTGTCGGTATGGCAATCTGTTGATTCATAAGCTTCCCTGCACTGATTTATTCATGTGATGCAAAGCCTCTGTGTGTGATAGGTGATCTATGACAATCTGAAGTCCACGCTATTGCACAATAGTGGCAGTCATCAGCTGATAAATATTGTGCCATAAACTGTCCCTTGGAATTATTTAACTCATTACAGACTGGATCTATATAGGATGGGGATGGGGAGAGATCTGTTCCATTTGCATGCAGGATATTTTAAATTCTCCCTGAAGCAACACTCCCTGGGATCTGTGAAAAGTCCAATTTATACTCTATGTTCAAGATTGCCTTCAGCCTTTTGCAGGCAAAAAATTATGTCTGCCTCATCAACCGCTCCTCCAGAACCCAACCACATTCTTCCTTGCATGTTCCAAATTCAAAACCCTTATGGAAGCATGGAAGTGCAAATTCCAAGAGAGGAATCAGCTTGATTACTTCTTGCATGGAGGAGCCCTTCACATGTCCACAGATCTTCTGTGCAAAGCAAAGACATATCTAGGGGAGCATGACCAGTTCAGTTGCACTGGGTGCAGAGCTTCTAGGGTGCCACAGCAGGCACCACAACTAAGAAGTCCAATGGAAGGCTCAAGGTGGGTGGGTGCAAAGCCAAGGTTCAGCCAGAGTCAAAAGTAAAGCTGCCATTGCAGTTTAAAAGAGCAATGCACTGAAATTGATGTTAGGTTTTTTTTCATTTTCACTGTGTTTGTTCCCTTTCATGATCTTTGGCCAGTTGTCTTTCACTGTGCCATTTTGTGGGGCAGCTAATGGTGCCAAAGAATTGCTATCACAGATATGACAGGTGACAGTTTTATTTTCAAAATGTTTAGAGGATGCAACCACTGAGGTCATATTTCCTACACTACTGTTCTTCTAGTGGAACGGACTTCTGCTTGCAGAAGGGATCTTTCCCTTCCTTTCTTTTCCCCTGCCGTCCCCTGCACACCCTCAAAATCTGCTCCAGGGTGTTGGGAAAGGAGCATGTCTTTGCTGGGTATCTTATGGTATTTAAATATGCCTATACAAGACAACAGTTGCCCACACACTTTTTTTTTTTTTACTATTCACACATGGAATATTTAATGTAATCCAGAAGATTAGTGATTTGGGCTTGGGAGATTATCTACAGCTGTTCAAATATATTGTGTACATCAGAATGCTTTCAAACCACGGGTAGAGGTCTTAAATTATTGTTGCCAGTCAATAAGTGTCTTGCTTCTTACCACCTGAGAGCATTCTAGCTTGCATGATGAGTAAGAGACACTCAGGAACGTGGTACTGCATGCTATGTACTACTTTGGCATATATATATATATATATATATATATATATATATTCATGTGGTTTGCAGCCAGAAAGGTGGGGAAAGAGATCTATATGTTGGAGAAAGGGGAAACTAACAGCACTGCTGCAGGTTTTAATTATATGCATGAAGAAGCATAAAATCCATCAGCAGGATTTGTTCTTGCTAATGTCAGGTAGACAAAAGAGAGTCAATTAAACACAGAAGAGTTTGCAAAGGCTGATAGCAAATGTGGATCCTATCCATTATCGTTCAAAGGGAATACTGATGCATATAAAAACAATTTTATGGTTTGGTTTAATGGAACAGTTTGCATGGGTCTATGCAAACTGTGAATTCCTTGGCTTTAAAGGGATTGCTATTAAAGACTTTAAGAAGCATCTTCACTTTCAAATAGAAACATTGGAAGCTGTCTGATACCAAGTCAGACCAGCTCAGTATTGTCTGAGAAGTCTGGCGAAGTCTGGTCTAGGGTTTTGGACAGGGGACATTTTGCTGAATGTGCTTACTCACATTCAGGAATAAGGCAGGTTTCCTGATCTCGAAGAGGCTTGTGTGTTTGACTGAACCCACTTACAAGCTGCCTTCAGCTTTGCATGCAGAAGTCAGGGAACAACGGGGCAGGGGTGGTATGTATGCGGCAGACACACTTCATGCTAAAAGGGCTCCTATTGTCCTCATAAACTCACACTTCTTGAAAGTGGTCAAGTTGGATGTTCATAACGTTGTGGTTCTTTCCCCATGAAAATAAAATAACTTTGTGTTCTAAAGCAACAACTTATGCCTGCCATTCAAAGGTTATGTAAAGCCTGAGGTCCAGCACCGAGGGCCTTCTGGCGGTTCCCTCACTGCGAGAAGCCAAGTTACAGGGAACCAGGCAGAGGGCCTTCTTGGTAGTGGCACCCGCCCTGTGGAATGCCCTCCCACCAGATGTCAAAGAGAAGAACAACTACCAGACTTTTAGAAGACATCTGAAGGCAGCCCTGTTTAGGGAAGCGTTTAATGTTTGACGGACTATTGTATTTTAATATTTGTTGGAAGCTGCTCAGAGTGGCTGGGGAAACCCAGCCAGATGGGCGGGGTATAAATAAAAAATTATTATTATTATTAAGCAAATATTAACTAGTCACACAAATTTCAGAAGCATGCAATATCCACTAAGAAGTGGAAAACTGGGGCATCTCAACATCTCCCCGCACCTGCAACACAGTCACTAAATTCATGGACTTAGTGGAGCCACATCCAGTAGCTCTTCCCACCCCCCGATGTCAACAAGTACAGAGTGAATGTAAAAGTAGATGCTTACAGTTTTACAGATGTAGGCTTCCCCCATGGTCCTGATCACATGTAAGTGGCTATGATCATACAGCTGTACATGGGTAGGCCCTTTCAAAGTTATTGCCAAATGCATTGGTGAATCATGCCCATTGGAACTGGGGTGGGGGGCAAGGGTAGAGTGGCCAAGGGTGGGCAGAGCAAGAGCCAATGACAGGCAGAGCCAACTAATTCTGGTTTTGTCCCCATCCCCTTTCCTGGTATAGCCCTAGACTGGCTGTAAGAGAGCCAGTGTGAACTAGTGGTTAGACTGCTGGACTAGGACCTGAGAGATCAGGGTTCTGCCCAGCTATGAAGCCCACTGGGTGTCCCTGGGCCAGTCACTGTGTCTCAGCCTAACCTACCTCACAGGGTTGTTGTGACGATAAAATGGAGAGGCGTAGCAATGTGCGCACCACCTTGAGCTCTTTGGAGAAAAGGTGGGATAGTAATGTAACAGAAGTAGTAATAAAAAGAAGTTAGAAGGTGAGCAGGTGAGGACAACTGAGGTCAGTGGGGCAGATCCCCATTCACCCTAATGAGCCAACCTCACAGCTCAATCTATGGATATAGGAAACAAGGCCAAGTGACATGACCCGTTGCCTCCCCTGTGTGTTCAGCGTGGGATTTTTGTACACACGCCTTCAAGCTGAGAGAAATTCTTTCAAGCCCCTTTCTCCTCTCTTCTACTCCCATCCTAAGTACAGGTTTTATAAGAACCCTGAGGTTAATATATATATATATCCTTGTATCTGTTGGAAAACATGTTGTCTAAACAGACACTCAGCTCATTTGCTTCACTGGTTTTGTCAGCTGGAGCCATCTGCTTGCATGGACTTTCAGTTCCGGCTTTCTGCTCCCAGCACATTGGTGTCCGGATCATGTTGACCCTGCCACTGCTAGCCTGGGCAAGGTCTAGGGATGCCAGGCTCTGCCCATAACCCTTCATGCACAAGAGAGCCCCATTTCTCATTTCTGACCTGCTGGGTAGTACATTTGTGATCAACACCATAGAGTATCAGAACAGTCACGGCATCTTTCTCTGTAGGCTGCAGGTTGGATTCATATTAAGCAATTTTAGCATGCATATTTATTTTAATAGAGCTGGTTTTATTTCTATTTTTATCAACTTGCTCTTTTTAAAAGTTAAATGAATATTTACATTGTTTTATGTGAACCTCTTAGAAGTTTTTGATGACCAGGCAGTGTATAAATCTTGTTAAAATAAAATGAACCCTTGAACAGGTTCAGCGGAGAAAATTAAGTCAAGATGTAACTTAGCCTTCTTTAAAATCAATGAGATTTAAGTTCAGCTCGCTTATCCCGTAACTTGCAAGGACCATACGTTCTTCTTACAGTGGGGTCCCATTAGCTACAATTATCAATAAAAAGATATACAAGACTCTTATATTCCACTGCTTGTCAATGACATTAAGGGAAGATGCCCATTGAATTGCTTTACTTCTGCCAAATAACCACTGTATTATTCAAGATTGCTCTTTCCGCTGGGCTAATGAAAATGTTGAAAGTTGGCTTCCTCGCAAGTGGATGCTTCAGGAGCCGAGCTGCCCAAATTTCCATTCTTTCATTTTCTTACCCCTTTCATCATGCCACCAGGGCTGTTTCTCTGAGATGCTTATTGCATTCAGCCAGAAAATATTCTTGAACAATCAAAAGAGAAGGCACTCTCTTGCTCGCAATGCAGCAGGTGATTTAGAAAAGCCATTATGGCTGCTCAGGAGGGCAAAGAATGTCTGGCAGGAAAGTGGAGCTGGCAGGCCCTGGATAGGCAGGGAATCCCGAACAACACACACAAAAGCCTTTGGCAGGGAGGAAATGAATGAGGTTAAAGTCAGCATGAAAGATCTCAGAGCATATCCTGAGAAACGGAGCATAAAATCGGAGCAAAAATAATTCCTTAGCTGAAGAAAGATTGCCCATCCTCACATGACAATCAACAAAAAGGCCAAGAGGCTTTTATAGGTTCAGGACAGGGGTCATTCTGCCTAGGATATTTCCCCCGTATAAGTGAATTGTCAGTGCACAAATGTTCAGAGGAAGGATATGTGGCTGTTTCATTGGGAAGGTGTAGCTTGGGAAGGCCAAGAGTCGTCATCATCATCATCATCATCATCATCATAATTTATTATTTATACCCCGCCCATCTGGCTGCGTTTCCCCAGCCACTCTGGGCGGCT